TCTTTCTTTCTTTCTTTCTTTCTTTCTTTCTTTCTTTCTTTCTTTCTACCTTCCTTCCTTCCTTCTCATTTTCCTTCTTTTTCCTCCCTCCCTCCTTTCCTTCTCGTTTTCCTCCCTTCTCCCCTTTCTTCTCATTCCTATCACTTTTTTCCTTCCTTCCTTCCCTCCTTCCTTCCTTCTCGTTTTCCTTCTTTCTTCCCTCCCTCCCTCCTCCTTTTCCTTTCTTCTCTCCTTCCTTCCTTGCTTCCTTCCTTCTCAATTTCCTTCTTTCCTCCCTCCCTCCCTTCTCGTTTTCCTCCCTTCCCTCCCTCCCTCCCTTCTCATTCCTATCACCTTTTTCCTTCCTTCCTTCTCATTTTCCTTCTTTCTCCCCCCCCTCCTCCTTTTCCTTCCTCCCTTCCTTCCTTCCTTCCACCTTCCATTCTTCCCTCTCCTTTTCCTTCTTCCCTCCCTCCCTCCCTTCTCATTCCTATCGCCTTTTTCCTTCCTTCCTTCTCGTTTTCCTTCTTTCTCCCCCCCTCCCTCCTCCTTTTCCTTCCTCCCTTCCTTCCTTCCTTCCTTCCTTCTTTCTCTTTCTCTCTCTCTCTCTCTCACTGACTCGGAAGGGACCCCCGGAGGTCTTCTAGTCCAGCCCGCACGCTCAAGCAGGTGAGCCAAGAGCTTCTCTTGCCAATGGCTGTCCGGACTCTTCTTGGAAACCTCCAGGGAGGGAGCGACTCCTTCTGGAGGCCTCTCCTTGTCCTCCCGGTCCGGAATTTTTTCTCCTGAATGTCCGGTTGCTTCTCTCCTGGGTCAAGCCTGGGAGAAACGTCCCCCCGGGTGTAGTTCCAGGTGGGAAGAAAGACCCCGGAAAGACGGAGGCTGCTTGGAAGGACGGTTTTCAGGGTGGACAGGACCCCACTTCCGTGGGGCTCCTGGGTGAAGACGGGGGGGGGGGAGAGGCGGAGGGTCCCCGGGTTTTATGCTCCCTCACTGGCCTTTGACCTTGCAACCCCTCTAAGATTGGGAGGTTATTGTACCAGCCCGTTACTCCTCTTGAGACGATGGGGCCAGTTGCTTGGCCTAGGACGGGGATGGCGACCTCTTTTTCGGGCTGCCCAGGGCTCATTCATGACATGGAGTGGGAGTCATTTTTCTTTCTCTCTTGGAAAATATTTCACCTCGTTTTCAAAGTTTAAAAACATAAACTAGAACTTTATACATCATTGTTTTCTTAAGTTTTCGCGGGTACTTACATGTATGGCATTCGGCTTCATTCGGGTATTTTCCCACGTCATTGTAGTTGTGCTTTTAAAGTTGTAGCAACGTTTCGGCAGAATCTCATCTGATTATACATCCTTGTATCAACGTCAAGACCTCTTGTACATTTCCTGACCGTCTTTCTATACATACCTTCTTATTCGATTACCATGGCATATTTCTTTCCTTGCTTTTGCTACAAATCAGTATATTTTCACCTTATATTTCAATTTCCTCCGTAACAGATATTGACCTCATTTCTGATTCTTTACCTAATCGCCATTTTAATTTCTTTTTATTCTTCAACCATTCACACGCTGCGTCCCAGACTATATAATACATATTGAATGTTCTTTATCTCTCCATTTCAATGTTAGCCTGTCCATCTCTGCACAGTCAAATATTTTCTTTATAATAACACCCTCTGATGGTGCATTTTCCTGCTTCCAAAATTGTGCGTAAGAAATCCTAGCAGCTGTTAAAATATGTAACACAATAGATCTGTCTTTTTTGTTACATTTTTCTGTTGTTATGCCTAATAAAAATAATTCTGGTTTGGGTTCAATTTTCTCTTTGATTATTTCTTCTAGCCACAGTCAAATTGTGTTCCGATATTTCTTGACTTCTGGGCAAGTCCACCACATATGAAAATAAGTGCCTTTTTCTTTCTTACACTTCCAACAATTTGGCTTTAGGTTAAACAGCCTAGCCTAGCAGTGGGGTAGGTGCCATCTATATTTTGTACAGCTTTTCCCTGTACGCTGTAGACATAGTTAATTTGTAATTTAGTCCGCACATTTTTTTCCCCAGTGTTCCATAGTCTATCACTATGGTTGTATGTACACTGAGCGCAACGAAGTCCTTGTGTGTCTAATGACACAATAAAGAATTCTAATTTTAATTCTGATTTATTTAGGCTGTGAAGTGGAAAACAAACAACTCCCTTCTGACTAGCCACTAACAACTGCTATGAACGTTACAGTACAGTTGGTCCTTGACTTCCAGAGACAGTGGGGACCACAATTTCTGTGGCTAGGCAAGGCAGTTTTTCAATGGGTTTTGCTTTATTTTTTTGATCATTTTTTCCCCATGGTTGCAAAGTGAATTGCTGCAATTATTAAGAAAACCACACACTCATTAAGTGTTCAGCAGAGTGATGACATGGGGGGGTCTGTAGATATTTTCTCAGCCCTCCTTCTGACCCACTCGGTATACAGGTCTTCTGTGAAAGACAGGCTGGTTGCAATCGTTATTTCTGTGGTTGTAATTATCCTGTACCTAGAAATCCTACTCGGTTGCTATACCAAAGTAGACAAAAAGGGGAATTAGCTACTCTTATCTTGATATGAATGCAAGGATTGGCCTTCAGATTGTGTAGTAACTTGTGTTAGTAAACCGATGTTCTGCAGAGCCAACGTCCCATCTTTCATTGGGTGCCATTGTACCTTCAAACAGTCACTAAATGAATGAATGTAAGTCAAGGACTACCTGTATTGCACCTTGATTAATTTTAATCAATTCTTTTTCTTCATTGATGCAAGATTGCTCTGAAAAGGTTGTGAAAATCATACCCTCAGTCAGAATTTCTCAACCTGTGCAGTTCTAAGATGTCGCTTAACTTTAATTCTGGGAGTTGAACTCCACCTGTCGTAAAGTTGCCCCGGTTGAGAAACACTGCCGAAGTAATGCTTCACTGTGTGACACCACAACAACTGCAGGCCCAGGAATGCAGGCCTGGCTCCTGGATCCCCATCAAAGGCTGGGCGATCTCGGTGAATTCTTTTTCTGCCCTTTCCCAGGTGGAAATGCAGGGATCGGGAAGGCCACAGCGGTGGATCTTGCCCGGAGAGGCGCCCGTGTCATTCTGGCATGCCGCGACAAAGCGAGAGGAGAATCGGCCATGTACGACATCAGACGGGTAAGTGCCTATTATGCGGTTCTCTCCTTCCCTCTGTTCTTTTGCATCCAGATGTTTTCCAAATGGTTTTTATTTATTTATTTAGCATGTGTTTTGATCCAAGCCTTGTTCAAATTAAACAGACACAAACTGTGTAAAAAAGCAAACCTTTTTTAATGCGGCGCTGGGAATTCAGTGCATTCCAAGGCAAGAGATATAAACCTAATTGTCCAATATCAAAAGTAAGCCCTTTCAAGGTTGCAAAAGGCTGCCAAGAACAGTTGACTTATTACTGATTAAATATCCACCAACAGAGGTTTCAAAAACAAGCCAGAATAAGCAGGGCTTCAACGAGGACTCTGAGTCTAAAGAACTTCTTTGCTTCCTGCGAAGAACACGTCTCCGAGGGCTGGTTTTTATCCCTTATGGGAGGGGCCATCACCTTCCAGCCTTACTCCCAAGTCACCTTTGCTGCTTCAGCTGCTCTTCGAGCAGCCCTGCGTGCATGCGCACTGGGCACAGGCTCCCCCTGGTCCTCTGCATCATTGCTGCCAGACTCCACCAGCTCCGAAGGCAGCACCCGACTCTCCAATAGTCCTGGACCCATCCCTGCATCACACGCAGGCCCCTCGTCTGAGTCCTTGCTATCAGAGACCTCTGCCGTCCACACCTGCTGCCGGCGAACCACAACAGCATGTGGCATCTACAGAGATCATGTAATCTTTGATATGCAACACGGATAAAACACACTATACACACAAACACAAATGTATCTTTAAATAAAGCATCAACAAATACATGTATATCAAATGGGTGGATAATACAGCAGAGGAGGTGAAATATTCAGTTAAGGTACAATCATGATAAAATCTCCATCATATGGCCCCATAAAGTCACAATGGGATAGATGTTATACAATTAGTCCAAATGAAATCAGAGCCACTGACACAAACTTGTAGTTTTATATAAATGAATATATTTAACATCTATAACTACAGCAGACAAGATAGTCAGCAGCACAGGAACGTCATGAGGTAAATATCAGCAGCATACAGAGCCCACAGGAGAAAAAGGCGGGAAAAAAGGGAACTCCCTCTTTACACCCACGGCAACCAATCATAGCGCAGATTACCTCATGCAGGAGCTACCACTCTCCCAACCAATCAACTGCAACTGTACAGTTTACTGTTCCAGCTACTCTGTTCAATGTCCCAACCGTTCTGATGCGCCTCAGCGGCCTTGCCGGACTCTCGGCCGTTCCCCACTCAAAGAGCTTTGCCTTGAATTCTGTTACGGCCTGGCCTGGTTCTATTCAGGGGGCTCCATGTTTTTCAGGGAAGCCGCATTCCTGGCAGTGGTTTTCTTGGATCAAGGGTCAGGCAACTGCACAGCAAATATCCAAATGAGATCAGAGACACTGATGCAAACTTGTAGTTGTATATAAATACATATATTTAACATCTGTAACTACAGCAGACAAGATAATCAGCAGCACAGGAACGTCATGAGGTAAATATCAGCAGCATACAGAGCCCACAGGAGAAAAAGGCGGGAAAAAAGGGAACTCCCTCTTTACACCCACGGCAACCAATCATAGCGCAGATTGCCTCATGCAGGAGCTACCACTCTCCAACCAATCAACTGCAACTGTACAGTTTACCCTTCCAGCTACTCTATTCAATGTCCTAACAGTTCTGAGGCACCCGAGTCGCATTGTGGGACTCTCGGCCATTCTCCACTTAAAGAGCTTTGCCTTGTCATGACCTGGCCTGGTTCCATTCAGGGGGCGCCATGTTTTTCAGGGAAGCTGCATTCCTGGCAGTGGTTTTGTTGGATCAAGGGTCAGGCAACTGCACAGCAAATGTCCAAATGAGATCAGAGACACTGATGCAGACTTGTAGTTTTATATAAACACGTATATTTAACATCTGTAACTACAGCAGACAAGATAGTCAGCAGCACAGGAACTTCGTGAGGTAAATATCAGCAGCATACAGAGCCCACAGAAGAAAAAGGCGGGGAAAAAGAGAAACTCCCCCTTTACACCCACGGCAACCAATCATAGCGCGGATTACCTCATGCAGGAGCCAGTACTCCACTACAACTGTTCCAGCTATTAAGTTAAATATTTTAGCACCCCTCCAATTTATACCTGGACAGCATTTAAACCAAGTTGCTTTACAAGATCCTTGTGGCTTTGTGGACCCAATGGCTTTGTCATGAGATCAGCCAAATTATGCTCTGACGGACAATAAATTAGTTCTATTCCTTTCACTGCTTCTCTGACATTACAATATTTTGCGTCAACATGTTTGCTTTTGGTTTTTTATTCTCCCACCTGTTGCCATTTGTGCACATGTCGTGCTATCTTCAAACACTGATGTTAGCGCTTTTCACTTCAATATACGAATCCTTTAATAATTGTATATATAGCACATTATCACTGAACACAATGCTGATTAATGCTATGAATTCTGCTTCAGCTGTGGAAATGGCAGCTGAAGTCTGTTTTCCAGATTTGCAACCAACTAGTGTGTTGCAAACATAACAAATATTGACATCGACTTTTTCTTTTTATGTTTTTGGGCGGCTCAAAATCTGAATTAATCCAATGAAACTCTGAACATGAGGCAACTGATAATCAGTTTTATTCTTCGTCAAAGCAAAATTGGGCAACCTTTGATCTCCTACCTTAAACAGCAAGGCAAAGTCTAAATGTTTGCTTGCATAAATCGTCATAGCTCTAGAAACATAATTTCATATCCGTGGTTCATGCAAACCTCATGCTTTTCTCAGCGCTCTGAAAAGAATAGACCTCAGGTGGGAAAAGAATACGTTTTCTGGCACATAATCCAGAGCTTTGTTTGTAGGGTGCTGTCTCACATTATGTTACAGCAAACAGGCAGAATTCACATTTTGCATTTCGCAACCAGTTAGTTAGCTAGGCTACTTGGCAGTTAGCCTGAAGGCTTTATCCTTGCAGATAAAGCATTTGGTTACAATGGAGCTGAGCTCAGCAGCGAGGAATATCAAAAGTTGAGTTGGTGACACTCTGTACGTGCTCCGATCCTTTCACCGTCTTATACATCATTGGCCTAATTACTGATGGCCAAATCTGGCCCTCGGTTCTGCCTCGGTTTACCTTTTACGATAAGCAACCAAGTCAGAAGTCATTCTGTCTCCCTATGAAAAGGGGGAATCTGGGGAAATGGATTGCGTTTACTTTTATAGTTAGCAGAACAGAGAACTTCAAAGCAGAAGTTTTGTTTGATTTAGAAATAGCCGTCTGTTCAGTTACATCACAATTATTACAGTATAAAACCATAGAAAAGAGCATCGTGTTCTCAGTAAAAGCAAACGAAACATTTGCAAAGGGAAAGCATCAAAATGGGTTTGGCTAAGATACATTCTCAGCGCTTCTCAAGGTTGGCTTGGTTATTTTCTTTTTTAGAACAGCTAAAAAACGAAACTCTTGCCTACAATGTATTGAATGCCTCTCCTGACAGTCCTGAAATTATTAGCAATACAATTTAAAAAAGCAAATTTTAAAATACAAACCCACGTTAATTAGCCAGTTCAGCCACATTACAAAAACCATGTTTCAAGTATTACAAAGTCCATCCTCTGTATATACTGTGTTATTTCTGAACCCAGTTCTGATGAATGCTATGAATTCTGCTGCAGCTGTGGGAATGGCAACCGAAGTCTGTTTTCCAGATTTGCAACCAAGTGGTGTGTCTGCAAACGTGGCTTTGGCTGTCTATCTTGTACATGATTAGCCCAATCACTGTAAACATTTCAAGTCAAATTCATTTGATGGCTGGAAATCCATGGTTCCCCCTTAAATCGTGTATTATTCTTTTAATTCCTAACCAGTGTTGTTGTGTACGTCTTGATGTGTAAGGACTTAGATAGTTTATTCTATACCAAATCATATAATCATACCAAATCTATCCTAAAAAAAAACTTTATAGATATGATGTCAAATAACAAATAACCCGGGGTTAAGCCGCTTTCTAAAAAGAAGTTTTATGTTTTTATGTTATGTATTTTGTTAGTTTATGTTTGTTTATTGAGGATTAATGATGTTGGATAAGAACATATGAAATAGTAATAATATGAAATATAGTAATATGAAATACATGAAAGTATAAGTTTAATGAATAAAATTGAACAGAAATAAAGGAAGAAACAGTGAGAAGTTGGAGAAGAGTAATAAGATATGAAGTTGAATATATAAGATGCATATTAAATTGTGTGTGGAAACGTGATGATTTAGAACTATGTTGTACTTAAATAAGATGTCTTATTTGTTTTGTTAAGCAGTTTTTAGAAAAGATGTTCTATGTTCTTATGTTTTATGTTTTGTTTGTCTGTGTATTCTCTTCGAAAATTAATAAAATTTGTTCCAAAATATATATATATATATATACCAGAACTATTTGTAATCCTGCTGAGCCGTTGCTAACTGTGAAAAGTGGATGGATAAGTTTAAGACAGGAAGAATGAAACTGTTGGCAATGAGGAACTGAAAGTAATATACACAGGTGTGTGGTGGACTGGCAATTGAAAAATGATGGGAGACGCAGGGAAGACGTCTGAGCAACTGCCAGCCCCGATAGCCCTCGGGTAGCAGTATTTATTAAGAAAATACAAATACAAAATCAAAACAATGACTTCAACATTAGCTCAGCAACATTATCTAGCTAGGCCTCAGCGAAGGTGATAAAGTTCCCGTGAGAAAGCAGGGCACCAAAGGTCTCATGGGAATGGCTCGGATAGGTACTGTGAACTCCCACACAGATTCCTGGTCTCTGAGCTTTAGCAGATCATAACAGGATCAAACTCTCATCATAAAGACACTACTGCCCTCATGAGGAGCGTTTGTGATACCCCCAGATCTTACAAAGCTGTACAAGAACTTGCAGAATATGATGGATATATTACCACACAGGTGTTTAAGAAAAGTGACGGTTAGTGAAAGTGTGAAGTTAGTGAAGTTGTGTATGTGGTTAGAAGAAAAGTATCAAGGATAGAGTTGAAGATCAGCTTGGAGTCCTTTGATTTATGGCGGTTCTTGTAGGACCTGCTGTGTGTCCTTGGACCCCATTGCAATGGCTTATTAATGTAAATGTGTGACTGCTATTATATCTTTTATATTTATTCATTTCTTATGTTCCAAATTATGAGAAACAATAAACCTCTGATCTTAAAGTAAGCATTATTGCTTGTGTTGTTGTCTGTTTCCTGTTGGAATTTTCTCTGATTCTGTGGAGCTGAGCAGAGGCAGCCATGACAGTTGTTAAGTCAGCCAGACCCGATTTTTTTTGCCATGGTTGTTAGGCAAATCACTACAGTTGTTAAGTGAGTCACATGGTTGTTAAGTGAAATTGGCTCCTCCCCCCAAATCAGAGGATTTGTCTGAATCCTCTTGGGACAATCACAAATAGTGATCGCATGACCCCAGGACACCTACATCATCGGAAATATTGCTGGTTGCCAAGCACCCAAATTCTTTTTTATTATTATTAAAAAGGTTTTTTTAATTTTTTAACAACAAATATAAAACAACAAATAAAACTTTCTTTCAGTTCTACAGTGTGTCGGTTGGTACATATTTCTTGTCCACAATATCTATAGTCTTTACCTCTTAGGTTTACATTCATATTATATAAATTAACTTTCCATGTCATATTATATTATTATTACACCATCATTAGACTTTAATTTCAAATCCATATTATCCTTTAGAGCAAATCTCAATTCTTACTAAATTTTATTCATGTTATAATTTATTCCAAAATAATCGGTTGTAATGTATCATTACTATTGCGTTACACTTCAATTTCCTACTTTTCTATCTAGCCATTGGCAGAATAAATCCCATACCTTATAATACTCTTTTTCTTCTTGTTCTCTAATTGCTAATGGAATCAACTCATTTCTGCACATTTTGTTATTTTCTTAACCGCCAAGCACCCAAATTCTAATCCACATGTCCCTGGGGGTACCGCGAGACAGTCGGGAAGTGAGGGGACGGGTCATAAATCACTTTTTTTCATTATCATTTTAATTTTGAATGATCACTAAATGGGTGGCTGTAAGTCAAGAACTGGCTGTATCGTTTTATTGTGCATCACCCGGAGAGATTGCCGGGAGGTGAGCAGACCTACGCAGAAGGTGAGTAAACCGGGATCTGCCTTTGAAGCCGCACCGGATCCCGAGGTTCAGGATTTATCCCGCTCCTTTTTCCAGGAAAGCGGGAACTCGGAGGTGATCCTGATGATCCTGGATCTGGCCAGCCTGAGCTCCGTGCGAGATTTTGCGCAGACCTTCTTAGCATCGGAGCCCCGTCTGGACATCCTCATCAACAACGCAGGTGGGGCCAGAGCAGACCCTCCCCAGGGTCTCCGGAGGGGGAAGGAAGGGGGGAAGATTGAAAGGGGGGATTGTCTGGGATTTCTCTCCCTTTGGGGATTTGGCCAGAACTTGAGAAGCGGCTCTCTCCTATTTGTGTCTGTACATTTTTCCTACACTGCCTTTATTAATATTTTTATGAGTGACTCAAGGTGGCAAACGGATCCAACATACCTTCCCCCTCCTATTTTCCTACAACGACAACCCTGTGTGGTGGGTTGGGCTGAGAGAGAGAGAGACAAAGAGAGAGAGAGAGAGAGACAAAGAGAGACTAACCCAAAGTCATCAAGCTGGCTTTCATGCGTAAAGTGGAGCTAGAACTCACCGTCTCCTGGTGATTGGACCAAAGTCACCCAGTTGGCTTTCCTGGCTCAGGCAAGATTTGAACTGATGGCCTCCCATTTTAACCACTAGACCAAACTGAAGTAACTGACTTAAAAAGACACCTGACTCAGCCACTGGACCAAACTGAATGCTTTGCAAGGTAGTCCTTGACTTATGACCGTGATGGAGTCTGCCAGTTATTTTTGTAAGTTGTGTTGGTGCTAAAGTGGGTCACCCTTTGCGACCATGATTTTCTGGCCTGTTCTGAGGTGGTTGTTAAGTGAACTGAATGTTCGCTATCTGGTGCTTTTGCTAAAAACTTTTGCTAAATGCCTTTTATGACAAAAATGTTGCAAATCAAGGGTCACTTAACACGTTGCCAAAGGCAAGACTATTCGCCACACACCCAGAATGTGATCATGTGACCACAAGGGGGAGCCACTGGAACTTTGGAACCGAATCATGATGTCAGGATTCCAGCAATCACCCTAATTAAATCTTGATTCTCGAGCCAAACTTCAAAAAACTTCAAAGGATTTATTAGAGGGACATACTGGCATTGCCCTGTACGAAGCCAACTCTGGGATATGTAATTTAGTCACCTGTGACCCTGTTCCACCCCCCCCAAGTGTCTCATAAACCAGTTTCTCCAATTGAGCCCATTCACAGGCTAGGTGTCATCAATCATGTTCTCCAATTAAATATATTTGGGGCAAAAGCTCTGGTAGTTTAGTTACAATCTTTTAAAGATAAGAGTCGGACTGTACTTTCGCTTTCAAACGGCTGCACTGCTCTTCCAGAGTTCCTCCCCTCTCTTTTTTTTACGGCAACTACTAAAAGAGGCATAGCAATGTTTTATAAGTTGACACATAAATCCCTTTGGTAATTACATCAGTTGTAAAATCGAATTATCACAAAGTGACGTGTTGTAAGCCAAGGACTATCTGTAATCCGCTTACTTTTCTGGCAGGTGTGGTTAAGGGTGGCCAAACCGCCGATGGCTTTGACTTGGTCTTCCAGGTCAACCACTTGGGCCACTTCCTGCTGACCCACCTGCTCCTGGACCAGCTGAAGCGCTGCGTCCCGAGCCGGATCGTAATCCTGTCCTCGGGTATGCATTTCTTTGGGAAGATTGACTTTCAGACCATCCACAAGTCAGGAGAGGGAATGTGGAAACCTATACAATCGTACTGCAACAGCAAACTAGCCAACATTCTGCATGCCAGAGAGTTGGCCAAGCGGCTGGAAGGAACCAACGTCACCTGCTACGCGGTTCATCCAGGTGAGTGGAAGTCCGGTGTCAGGATTCCAGCCGTTACCCCAATGAAATCGTGAGCCTCGAGCCGAACTTCCAAACCTAACAGGATTTATTGGGAGTTAACATGCCGGCATGACCTAGTTGTAGGCAACTCTGAGACACATCATTCACTGTCACCCTTGGCCCTGGTTTCCCCCCATTCTCCCGGGTGTATCATCATTCATATTCTCCAATGGGACACCTCCATAGCCAAGAGGCATCCATCATGTTTTCCAATTAAATTTTTGAACGGCAGAAACTTCAGTCACTTCAGTCACCTAGTTACAATCTCTGAGAAACTATGCCCGCAATGCACTTTTCGATTCCAAGCTGCTACCCCTGGTATTTCAAACTCCTCTCTCCCCTCCCTTTCTGTTGGCAACTATAAAACGGCCATTAAAAATGTTTTATGAGTTGACATCCGGCTCCAAGGTGCCCCAGATGGAGCCTCCACACACACACACACACACCGGTCCATCTGGGGCTCCGCCAGACATTTCTTTCGCTCCCTCGACCCCCTTCTGCAGAGGCACCCCGGGAGTTTCCTCCATCAAGCTCAGCTGAGGAGGGAGACGTCTCCCACCATCCCGGGTCCAGAATCCTAGAACGTTAGGTGGGGAGGACCCTTGGAGGTCCTCTAGTCCAACCCCCTGCTTCTCAACTCCTTTCCTCGTTTACTTTTACTAAAAGCCAAGCGCTCATAGTAGCAACGCCGGATCAAAACATTTGCGCGCAAAGATTCCCTTGTTAACTTTCTCTTCTCCGTTCCACCCGGTTAGGTTCCCCATTCGCCACTCACATTCCAAGATGCTTGTTGACACTTGGGGGCAAGCAAAGAATAACAAGAAAGGAATAAGACCCCCATAATTGATTGATTGTTGACCCCCATGCTCTTCTCAGCAACTCCGGGGAAAGAGAGAAAAGTCATTATTTTAATACCTGGTATTCTTCATTTGAATGTACAGGAAATTTTTGCCTCATGAGCCCAACATTTCTGTTGTTAAGCAAGATAGTTATTAAGTGAATGTTGCTTCATTGGATGGCATTTCTTGCCATAGTGGTTATGTGAATCACTGCACTGGCTAAGTTAGTCTGAAGAATCTGAATTTTGATCACGTGTTCATGGAGGTGGTTGTGTCAAAAACAGTCGTTTAAGTCACTTTTTTTCCCCCAGTGCTGTGTTGTAACTTTGGACGGTCACTAAACAAACTCTAATAAGTTGGGGACTGCATGTATTAGACACTTATTCCAATGGATTTCTATGTGAGACAACACAAACATACACACAAACACACTATTTTAACCAACTCGGGGAACAGACAGAATATAATTATGCAATATTATTTAATGTGTGTGTGTCAACAGTACTGCAAGGATTCTGCATTGCTTTTCTCGAAATTCTCATTATTTGATTTCTAACTGAATTCCAGTTTTAATGCTATACATACCGTGTTGAGCAGAGGGCCCAAAACGTGGCAACTTTTAAGACTTGTGGACTTCAACTCCCACAATGAGGAATTCTGGGAGTTGAAGTCCACAAGTCTTAAAGTTGTCAAGTTTGGAGACCTCTGGTGTTGAGTATCCCTTGTCCTGGATTTCTCATTATTTCTAATCGAATTTTAATTTTTAAGACAGAAGGCTAAGTCAACCTGGAGCTGTTGAGATTCAAACTGCTGATTAGTGGGCAGAGTCAACTTGCAATACTGCATTGTAACAACTGTGCCACTATGGCTTCCTTCCTTCCCCTCATTTCTCTTCCTTCCTTCCTTCCTTCCTTCCTTCCTTCCTTCCTTCCTTCCTT